ACCGCCGGGCGCAACTTGATTTGTGTCACCCCAAGGGACCATAAAAGTTTACCCTGCGGAAGGGAATGGGAGCCACTGAACTTTGCGAGAGCTGGCCGCAGGCCGCCCGGGAGGAAGTTTGCAGACCCCGACATGCGCCCAATGGTTGTTGAAGTCGTCGGTCCGTTCACCGCATTTACAAGTAAACTGCTGATCGGTATCTTGCCGCTTCCTGCAATTGCCAAGGTGCCGAAGGTAGTTGTCTCTTCGTCCACTTCCGTACAGGCATCTGCATCGAAACGTGTTGCCGTGGGCCGCCCTCTGGTGCCGGTTCTTCTGTCTCACGCTGCGGTACGTCTTCGAGCAGAACTCGCAGATCGTCAAGGATTGAGAAGCGGCCGTTACTCCACTGCGGATGCTGCAGGTGTCGAAGACAGACGACGCAGTTCGGCTAGGAGTTGCGGTGCTCGGTGATAGCAATTGCTGGTTGGGAAAACCTGGGGCAATGTGACACTCCGGCTGGATGCGCAGTGATGTGACCCCCAAAGGATTCCATGACCCCGCGTCAGGATGAGCCTGACGGCCGTATTGCCCCAAAAAGGGGGGGGAGGTCGTCGACGCCTGTAGCATTGGCGTCGCCGATTGTTAGCGCTGAAACATCGATATCGATATCAATGTCAAAGTTGGCTTCTGAGTTGGCAGCAATGTCGGCGTCAAAGTCGATGCCAAAGTCGATATTAAAGCCGGCGTCTAAGCCGACGCTTGCGTCAGGTTGCTGATGTGCAAAACGGCCGTGGGCGAGACCGGCGCCGCGTTTGGAGGTAAAGACGCTAGTTCGGGTAATCGCTGATGGGCATGATGTTGACCAGCCGGTTCGCTCGAAAGCGACGGCAACCGGTCGTTCATGGGGTGAAAAATAAGCTCAGCCAGGTGCTGGGCTATCGGGTGAAGTTGGGATCAAGGTTGGCGAGGAGGAACGGCTGTGGCGCCAGTCAGCGATAGATTTCGCAGATGACCAAGGGACCCTTTCTCTCGATGGGGCCGTGCCGGCTGGGTTGAACCTTGAGTCGGGATGAAGGGGTGGTGGCGATGGGATCGTGAGTAAATCTGTACAAGAAGCACTCGAGATGCTCGCAATGCACGACCTTAGTTGACTGCAAAGCAAAGTTCAGAAGCAACCACCATGGGTGGCGGATGATTCTTGTAGGACACCGGCGTGGACAATTGTGTGAGGATCTTTTCCATCATCACGATTGGGGGGCCAAGACCAACGACTGCTATGGTGGCCCCAGAAAGACTGCGAGATGCATGACGCGGTTCGTACTTCGCAGGAACACTGCATCGATGAACCGTCCTATGCCAACGCCATTATCGAATTTGTATGCGTCCAAGGGACCTGGAGCTAGCAACGAGACCGGAAGATTTGTCTATGCATCACAGTACCAAGAGCTATGAACCAGGTCCCTTTGGCCTTACGCGTGGTAACTTCAACAATCGTGGGAGCTTCAGGATGGGCAAAAGAAAGACGTGACGGAGGTTCGGTATTGGCAGCGGCGCAGCGGTGCAGCAGCTCCAGCACGCTACTGCAGGGGACTCCTCACCCTGTTTACTAGATGTACGGTACCTTAAGGAAATCGCAGGAACCTTATCACCGATCCCTATCGCGGAGACGAACATTCACAGCCCCAGGAGTCGGGCAACACGCCGCCTATCCAGTAAGTGTATCGACTCTTCAGGATGATGGGGAAACCATGCAATGTTGGGTCCGCAAGTCTCCTCATGCTGCTCAGGCATTTCACCCAACCTCTAAATTACTACCCGCCCCGGGTACACCACACAATGCCGGCAGCAGACGCAGCCTTTATGGATGGTGGGTTGGATTCCGCTTATCCCGGCCCGAGAGACATCTCTCCGCCTGGGCCGCTGAAGCACACACCTTGTAACTCGGCTGTCAGGGGCTGTGAACGGGCAATGTAGTCGCCCTGTCAAACTGCATCTCACTACTTCCAAAGCGGGGCAACACGCCCTGAAAGAGACAACCGATCTGCGATTCCAGATGGGACTCCACTCGCCAACTAGCCGACAGCGCAGCTTATCTTACAGCTTGACGCTTAATGTCTTCTTCTTCATGAACTGGCGCTGCTCATGCTCCCAGACGCAATCTAAAACCAAGCAGTCCCTTCTTTGGCTGCGTAGAGGTCTATTCATGGATGGATTCTAGCCTCGCTATTTCCTGAGATTTGACTGCGGAAACAGAGACACAATAAGTTAGATTCTGCAATGCCTGAAGCATGTGATCTGACAAGAAACATCTGCGTCGTCATACACCAGACTTAGAACCTCGCGATATCCATGCCCTTTCATCACCTGCGACCATCATTTCTAAGGTTTATAAGTCGTCACCGATAGGTTGATACTTGCTGGCGCTAGGTCTCTACTAGCCTGCATGAAGACTGATATACGGTTTGGAGTACTACTACGGCGATAGCTGTAAGTGGGATGCGGTTCATGGCACCAACAGTGTAAATATGACGGTATTGGTTCTATCCTAAGCAACATTCATAAGATCACCTCAAGATACAAGAGGTAGCGTAAAGAACGAAGAAATGTCCTACTCCGTTCTCGTGATTCACGAAGTGCTAGATACGAGTGCTGTTTGATGCGTGGTTGGGCTTGTGTGCTCACCGTGCCCAACCTATCATAAAGATATGTTTGCCTTTGGCTTCACAGGCTGCATGGAGACATTATCTAGCATCAATATTGATACAAATGAGGAAGAAAGGTTTGAGATTAGGGCAAAGAAACACTTGAAGACACTGTAAAACATCACGTAGAGAGCTGACAGCTCTCTACAAGGCTTCAAGAAATATAAGTAGTACTGCCAGCTGTGCTCATCATTCATCAAGCAGTTAACTGTCACAGATTGCCCTGCTGCAAAGGTTTTCTTGTCTCAGAATTGCCAGACAATGCAGTTGCGAATAACAGTAGGCCGTTACAGCTGGAAATCTATCAAAACGTGTAGTCGCCTTTCGTGGGGGTAAAACAGGTGCTGTGTTCTCCGCATAGGCCATTCATCTCGTCTCCTCCGATAAAGCTACCGTCGCAGCTACGCGATCCGAGAAAACATCCGTCGATAGCATGCGCCTAGTTTCTTAGTTAACCGAGTCCTTAAATCCCACAATGGGAAAACGGAAGAGCGAGTCACATATTTTCCTGCAAGAGGTGCTCCCTCATCCGCGGTCCAGACTTTCAGGTCTGGTCTTGTTAGTAAGCGGCTTCGCGACAGCTTGACGAGCGATTGTAAATAAAAAGGTGACAATCATATCTCACTTATGACAAAACTTCCTTTGTTATCGACAGCAGTCGAGGTAAGGGTGTCATCAATAGCGTTGCCTGCAGTATTTGTACAAGCACATAGACGGTGCTTATCGCCCAGCGCGGTAGTACTCAACCAGCGTTAGCATCCTGCTGCTCTGAACCAGAGGTTGAGATACAAACGTACGAAAGTCCACGGACAAGGATGGGGAGTATTGGGAAGGTGAACATGGCGCCCGGTTCGTTGTTGGTTGCCGATTCAAAAGCTTTTTGTTGTATGGAGCGGGAGATGGCTAAGACCGCAGGCCACAACTTGAATCTGCTAAGTTAGGTTGCGTGTATTTTATGTACGGAAATGTCTCGTCACACCCACTGTTTAATCCTACGGAGTCTGGCATGAGTCTCCGATGATGTTGAGTAAATGGTGAAGAGGCGGACTGACATTTGTTCCACGTGGTTCCAGCGGAAGAAGCACCGCTTGCGGGTGGTTCCGGGTTGGCAGCAGCGCAGGGACGCGACCTGGAACAAATGGATGCGTTTCTCCTCGTTTGTCAATCTCATGGTTGCAGGCCTGCCGAAAGATAACTGAAGATTGCGAAGATGAGCATCCACCTGCCCGGCCCTGCTCTGAGAGGCGGGTCTCTGCTCGGCCCCCGGGAACACGGATACCTTACCCACGCATCCCGATCGAAATGCACCTCACCACCCACAAAGCGGGTCGCCCAGACAAGTACCCCGCCAGATCCTCAATTCAAGAACACTTCCCAGCGGCATAACTTGTCTTCCGGCATGACCCCGCGCCAGGTCTTCCGTGTCTGACTCCCTGCTACCCAGGTAGCCTGAGGTCAGAGTCTACCAGTCTCGGCCCTGGCTGTAGATTCTACAACGTCATGGGTATCTGATGGGAAAAGCTCTCTATTGATCTCAACCTGAAAAAGAGTAGACTTGAAATCGACTAAGTACTATTCGGCTCATTCAACATATCAAGAGTCTCGCGAGACTGGTTAAAGCGGACATATGAGGGCACCGCAACTTGACTCTATGAAATCTGCTTCTTTTCAAGTTTTATGATGGGAAGAATTTAACAAAGTGAATTACGTGGATCCGTTAAAATTAGTAAAATTAGACGATGTCCAGGCATCTCTCTCACATGGCCAATTTTCCTGGTGGTTTCGACTCGCTAACAAAAAGCTGATACTGGCTGGCGATAATGTCCACAACTGGGCCCACACAGGGACGCACCACCGGTTTGGGGTACTGCCACGACAGCCATAGGTGGATCTGGGCGACAATGACAGTCATGGCCAAACAGCTTTCTGCTCGCCTCGCGACGAGATTGTTTGTATTTTCATTGGTCTCCTCACGATAGTCCACATGGAAAAGTCGGCGTGCGTATGGTGTCAACTCCACGGGACCACAGCACCCCTGTCAACGTGAGCCGCCATTGGCTGCCGAACCTCCCCTGCATTTTGAACCCACAGCACATGCTTCTCACGGCCCAATATTATATACCCTCTCGCTCATTCTTCAGTGTCACCGCAAGAACCCCATTCGATACCATCAGAAGCTACGGTTTGTATCTTGAGAGCGGACATCCTACTTGAAATCAGGACGTTCATTTTCTGTGTTCCTGTCCGCTGGACGGCACTGCAGCTGACGCCCAACTACCAAAGTCTGCCCGCCGCTATCTCTCACCGCCATTCGAGATGTCCACCGCCGTTGTTTCCTCCGCCGCCTCCGTCCACGGCTCTGACAGCGGCTTATCCACTGCCACACTGTCTCGGAAGTCTATCAGACGTGAGGTAGACGTCGTCGCTGGCGTGACCGTGAGGGAAAGGAACAAGCAGAGCCTCACGGTCTGCGTTGTCCGCGAAGAGAGTCTTCACAAGCTGGAAATGGCTTGCAAATACATTCGAGGAATATTCGAACGAGACAGTAAGAGAACCCCCCTGCTGCATGTTGCAAGTGCATCAACCAACATTTCTGACACTGAGAATAGCTCCGCCCATGCTCTTCACCACCGTCGAGCTCCTCCAGCAAACTATCGACGCCGCCGAGCTCTCAGCCAAGCACCGCGTCCTCAACCTCCTCTTCAGCCCCGAGATCGAGGAGGTCACCTTCGACGTTCCCCCGCACTTCAGCCAGCTCAAGGTGCTGCGGTGCGCGGACCGCCGCGACCACGGAAAGCTGTTCGTCGACGGCGCCGCCACGTACAACAACGTGCGCCTCGACAAGTGGCAGGCTCACCGGCACAAGAACCACACGCTCATCATCGGCGACGAGCGCGGCGTGCGCATCAAGCTCAGCGACATCGTCACGCTGCCGCACTGGGCACGGTGCCGCAACAACTTTGACGGCGCGGAGCAGAACGAAATCTTCCAGCATTTCCAGAACCTGTCGGGCAAGAGCCGCTGGGAGGACGTGAAGGGCATCGTGTCGTCGATTTTGGGGCTGGCGACGGGGGCGGCGAAGCTCGGCGTGAGGCTGAGCGGCGCCGCGGGCGGGATTTATGCGAAGTACACGTTCGGACTGCATGCGTTGGAGATTGGGGCTGCGGGTGTGAAGGTCAGCGCTGTTGCGACGGCGGCAGGCTCTGCTGTCGTGCTGGGGGTGGCGGCTGGAGCTGCGGTTTACTTCATACCCTGGGAGGGCCTGTTTGAGTGGTTGAAGAGGGCGTTTTTCAGTTTTTGGGACAAGATTTGCTCGCTCTGGCAGCGGTTCAAGGGCTGGGTTGTGGATCTGTTCACCGGCGGATCTGAAGTGGAGAGCAAGCAGAAGATGCTGGTCAAAATGAGGTAGTCTGGCTTTCTTTTCTTTTGTTATGGGTTTGGCTTGGGTATTGGGATATCTGATGATGCGATGGAAATTGGAATACAGTACAAGAAGTACAAGAACGACGTTTCTTCAGGGTACATACAGTAGAATGCGACAAAGAGAATGAATAGACGATAAAGCTCTGCTAGACATGATTGAAATAAGGTCATGGCGCCGGGTCACTTATATCCTGCACAGCACTAATGGCTTCATGGCTAAGGTACTCAGTGAGTGGTAGTATGGCAAGGCAGCCTATTTCCTTAACGAGTGATTAGCTTTCCGGTCCGTTGCCTCCGGTGACGGACGCCGGAAGACCCACCATCGCCGAAACTTTCGGGCTAGGCCAGCACCGAACGGCGCACATATGGAACCGACTATGGGGTACAGGAGCTTAGAAGCACATACAGTTATACAACATCAAGCTTTCCCATACTCGCCTATTATGCAACATAATCAAGCCAGATCATCAACAAGATTGACAAGGCCCGGGAATTTTCGTTGCAGAAATTCAAGATCAAAATTTGAATGCATATATAATCTTGTTGGTTCGTATACTACATAGCCCATAATCCAATTTTGTTTCGTAAAATCGTACAACAGCGCCATAACCATTCAAACGTTAACAATCGTTTTACAGTCCAAGCAGTCCGCCACCGCCCTTCTTACCACCGCCGCCACCTCCAAGAAGGCCGCCGCCTCCTTGGCCTCCGCCCAGCAGTCCGCCGAGCAGTCCTGGGTTATCCTTGCCTCCGCCGAGAATTCCTCCGAGAAGTCCCGGGTTGTCTTCTCCTCCACCAAGGACTCCACCGAGGAGACCGCCGTTGCCGCCTCCGAGGAGTCCACCTCCACCACCGCCCTGCTTGGAGTTTTGCTCGCCTCCCAAGCCACCGAGAACGCCGCCCAATAGACCGCCAACACTGTGATATTGGTTAGCTTCTTATTTTATGATTAGGATGTGAGACTGCTTACCCATCACCAACTCCGCCAACGACGTCACCAACACCGCCGAGCAAGTCGCCCTGGCCGACCTTGCCAACGCCCTTGCCCAAACCTCCAGTGATGCCGGTAACAGCATCGCCAGCACCCTTGCCAACACCACCAACGACGCCACCCAAGGGTCCGCCAACGGTGTCACCAAGGCCTCCAACAGTACCCCCGACAGTGTCACCCTAGAGCCTTCGTCAGCGTCCGTAAATTGTTCTCAGTAAGAGGAGCTCTTACCAATCCCTTGCCGACACCGCCAACAGTGTCGCCAACGCCCTTGGTGGCACCGCCGACGGTACCCATGACATCGCCCCTTCCAAGCGCGCCGGTGGTGTCTCCCAACGTCTTGCCGAGACCGCCAGTCGCGGCGCCGAGGGTGTTCGAGACGCCGTTCGTGGCCCCTCCAATGGTCTTTCCGAGACCGTCGACGCCAACGGTCTTGCCAACGCCGTCGGCAAGCCCGCCAACAGTCCGGCCGGCTCCGTCAACGACACCGCCCACGGTCTTGCCGGCACCGTCGACAACGCCGCCGGCAGTCTGTCCGACTCCGCCAACGGTCTTGCCCGCGCCGCCGAGGACACCTCCGGCAGTCTTGCCGACGCCGTCCACGAGTCCGCCCGCGGTGTTGGCCACGCCGCCGACGGTGTTGCCGACGCCGTCGACCAGCCCGCGCTTCCGGGCCTCGATCTCCTGCGTTGGGACCAGTGCGTTGGGGTGGTACGTCTTCTTCTTGGGCGTGTCGGTCTGCTTGCGCTGCGCCTCGAGCTCGTCGGTCGGCACGAGCGCGTTGGGGTGGTACGTCTTCTGCTTGGGCGCCTGGGCGGGCGCGACCGGGGCGTGGAAGTCGCGGAGGGGTCGCGGGGCCGGGATGCCCGCTGGCGCGGGGGCCTTCTTGGCGGGCGCCGGGGCAGAGGCCGGGGCTGGGGTTTTCTTGGGGAGGTGCTGGGAGGCTGGCGTCTTGACGGGCGCAGATGCGCGTGATGGGTTGACGGAGGGCTTGGTGGGCTGCGGGTTGGCCGCGGCCGCCTTCCTGGCTTGGATGCGCGCGACGATGTCGGCGCCGGTGGTCGGGGTGTTGTTGTGGATGGTCTTCTTTGTTGATGGCCTGGATGATCGGTGTGAGGAGTGGTGGTCCTTCATGGCGGTGGATGAAGTCTTGTGGCGGTGGGAGTGTGATTGCGAGTGAGATGATGTGTGCGCCTTGGAGACCGGCTTGGATACCTCGCTCGCAACTGGCTTGGTTGCCTCCCTGGCCGAAGGCTTCGCCTGCTCCTTGGCCGCTGACCTCGAGACGCGAGGCTTGGCGGCCTCGGCCGGTGCAGCGCCGGCCATTTGAGCTTGAAGTTGAGCCTGAGCCTGAGCTAAGGCCAGGGCCTGGGCCTGAAGCTTCTTCTGTTGAAGCTTCGCGATGATCTCGGCCCTGCTGGGTTTACTGGAGTCGTTGGCGGTTCGCCGTGTTGATTGCTGGGCCGCGGCCGTCTCTTTCTCGGCGGCGGCGGCTTCGGCCTGCTTCTTGAGAGCCTCGGCCTTGGCTCTTCGGGCGGCCTTCGCTCGACGGGCCTCAGCGACGACCGCGGCCGATTTGGGGTTGCCCAGCGCGTTTGGGGTTAAACCTGCCAGAGGACGTGTAAGCTAATTGAGGTCTGCGATGAAATTTACCCATGATGACTTACTCTGAGTAGGTGCTACTGCAGCCATGATGACTGATTTGGATATATGACTTCACTCTTCGAGGTATGAGATGTGAGAATACACTGGCTTTATGGGTCGAACCAGGTTGAGTGAGAGATTTGATGAAAGCGATTTCGAGTTCGCATCGTTCTACACATTGCCGATGGTGTGTGGCTCGTACTTGTATATGCTTCCCTCCCTGTGGCGGACATGTCTCTCTGAGTGACGTAGGGAGGCAGAACATTCGCGAGCTGCAGCCGGAGAAGGAGGAGGTTGAGGCACAGACGGAAGAGAGTGTGTGTGTGGTGTGTGGTGTGAGCTGACGTGCGGTCTGTGTCCGGTGACGTCGAGTCTCGGGTCCGTACCGGGGTTTGATAGGTCTGGTCTCTGCTAGCCCAGACGCGCAATTATGCGAGACCGCCAATCCAGACTCACCCGTGGAGCCAATCGAACTTCATTTGCCCACACACGCCACACTTTTCTCAAAGAGAGATGCCTGCAACTGCACCGCCGAGCCACACACACACCACACAGCAGAGTCTCTCTCTCTTCGCTTATTACGAGTGATGTGAGTGTGTGTCGGAGCCATCTTTCTCTTCCCTTCCTTCTCCCTCATTAGCCACCACCACCCATCCCATCACCCTGAGCTGCTGATCCCTGATATGACATACCCCCGGCCCGAACTTCTGATGGGCCTTTTCTTTTCGCTATCGATGTGGCGTTTTGTGGATAACGATTGGACTGAAGTGCGGGGTGGTTTGCCGAATCGCCGATCGGTTGGTAAGGGATTGTTGTGTGTGCTTTTTTTTCTGGGTTCGCCAATCACGGTTTTCTCGGCCGTGGGAGCTTGGCCTCGTACACGATGACATCCATGGGTGTCTAACCGTCGGATGTTCGGACGACACTGCGACACCCGCGGCGAAAAATGCTCCAGCCCGGCATTTCCATCTACTGCGGTAGGTTCAGAGCGCAGAAGGGTCGAGATCATTCGGAAATCGTATTCAAGGTTAAGCTTTTTTTACAGTGGTAGAAATTTCTAGGTTTCCCGGAAAAGTGCTCGATATCACGATGGGGAAAGGCAGCATGATGGGAAAGCACGCAGACCCTGGATTTGCTCACACGATTTCGATAATGGTGATGTCTCTCTGTGGATCGCGGCATACGCCCCCGTTATGATGTATGGGACTCATGGGTGTGGCATATCCAAAGACGAATGGCTGGACAAGAGTCACACTCCACCCATGATTGCGTGCAGTATGTACGTCGACGTATGAGGGAAGCTGGGGTGCGGGCTGGATCCCAACGGGCGCCGAGATGCCTGCTCTCTCTCTGCTGATCGGTGGATAGCAACCCTAAGGGTCCAGGCCCCCGCGCTGCCAATGGGCAGCCACAACACTCTTTGCCTCACTGTTTAGATGAAACGGTCGTCGTTCACCGCCGTGTGGCGTAACGACCCTGCGCAGCTGAGCATGTTGGTTTCCCGTACTGGCTGTGTTGGGGAGATGATCTCGGGCTCTCCAGAGGCGTGCAGGTCGGAACTCAAAGACCGGCTCTCGCCCTCTCGCCTTGATTCAGGAACGGCAGGCAAAATTGACATCTCCGGTGAATGCGAGACACCCTCAAATCTAGATGGATCCTCGGTTCACGCAGCCAAAAGCCTGTGAGTAAGCAGCGTGTCAAGCCATTGGACAAGTACGTGTCCGGCCAAATCCGGGAGGGAGAAGTGGCGATGTCGGAATCCGAACGTTATCCGCGAAGCGTTCGACTGCCATTGGTCAGTCATTCTAAGAGACCAATGACATCTGATCCTTGGCTCCTGAAGTTTGAGTTCTTGACATAAGAGAGTAAACGACGACTGGGCTCAGATTGTGAAGGAACATCAGTAAGATGGAGTACGCAAGGGGCTTTCAAGGCAAGTAAAAGTAGCCTTGTTTTTCGAATTCATTACGCAGTCCTTAACATCTAAGATACAGCCCAGAAGGTCAACAGAGCTTTACCGTCAATTAACTGCCAATTAACGCGGGGATAAAGTCGACTTGTAAGCTGTGCAATTCTTTCATAAAACTGATATCATCTCGAAAGGAGACTCCGATTCTTAAATGTTAATTGGAGATCTATTTCCCCGTACGTCTTTCTGCTGCGCCATTCAACAGTTGAAACATTAATATGCCCGGGCTTCCTTTTGGTCAAATCTCATAGCGGTCAGTTTCATCATGAACAGGGCGGTACACAAAGTAATCAAACGTAGCCTCCCGCGCAGTCCCGTTGCAATCCGACGCCGCCACGCCCACAAACGCACCCGTAAAGCTGCCGTGCGCCTGGTGTCCGCCGCACTCATCCGAGATTAGCGACGCGTCAAACACCGGCCCGATCTTCTTCAACTCCTCACCCTCGAGCGCATAGTAGAACTGCAGCGCCGGCCCGCGGATCGTCAGCGCGAGCTTCACCTTGCCCGCGTCCGGCAGCGGCACGGGGTCCACGAACGGCTCCGTGAGGTTGCCGTCGGGCCACGACGCCTCGGAGCTCTGGATGAGCAGCTCGCGCTTGCCGTCCGAGTGCGCCGTCACGGTCAGGTAGAAGAAGTTGTAGCGGCAGTAGTAGGCCGTCAGGCCGGCGAACTCGCGCTCGTCGGTGGGGGAGAAGGCGACGACGGTCTCGGCGTCGTAGGAGAAGTGCGTCTGCCGCCGGGCGACGAGGGCCTGCTCGAACCAGGAGCCGACGGACTCCCGCCCGATGAGGGTGAGCTTGCCGCCTTCGGTGCGGAATATGCGCTCGGGCTCGGGTGTTCTGAGCCATTGGAAATCCTGCGGCAGGCCGTTCTCGAAGGTGTACTTCTTCTCGGCCCAGTAGGCTGTCTCGTCGGGGGTTCCGGGGACCTCAACGTGCAACGAAGGGACGGGCCCGTTCTTGACGTATAGCCAGTCGTCGTCGGCCCAGTATGCTTCTTGCAGGGCCGTCTCGCGGCCGAGCACGCAGCGCCGCTTTTGCGTCGTCGGACGGCCGCTGAGGTGGACCATGTACGTCTTGCCCTCGGGGGTGTCGACGATGTCGCCGTGGCCTGCGCGCTGCAGGGCGGCGAAGGGGGAGTCTTTAGAGGTGATGACGTACTTTTGCGGGTGCAGCTCGTACGGGCCCCAGATGTCGCGGGAGCGGGCGAGGGTGCAAGCGTGCTCGTAGGCGGTGCCGCCCTCGGCGGTGAGGAGGTAGTACCAGCCGTTGCGCTTGTACAGATGGGGGCCTTCAACGAGGGCCAGCTCGGTGCCGCGGAAGATGTTCTTCTTGGGCCCGACGAGCTTGCCCTGCTTGGGGTCAAACTCCTGGAGCACGATGCCGGTGAAGGCGTGGGGGCGGCGGCGGTGGTCCCACATCATGTTGACGAACCACTTGCGGCCGTCGTCGTCGTGGAAGAGAGACGGGTCGAAGCCGGAGGAGTTGATGTAGTACGGATCGGACCAGGGGCCCTCGATGGCGGGCGCGGTGACGATGTAGTTGTGGGTGTCCTTGTAGGAGCCGTCCTTGCGCTTGACGTCGGTGTAGACGAGCCAGAACTTGTCGCCGTCGTGGGAGAGGCAGGGCGCCCAGACGCCGCAGCTGTCCGGGTCGCCGCGCATGTCGAGCTGGGATTTCCTGGTCAGAGGGCGCGTGGCGAGCGTCCAGTTTGCGAGGTCTTTGGAGTGGTGAATCTGCACGCCGGGGAACCACTCAAAGGTTGAGGTCGCGATGTAGTAGTTGTCTCCGACCCTCACGATGGAGGGGTCCGGGTTGAAGCCGGGGAGGATGGGATTCCGTACGGTAGGCATCTTTTGGGTGGTGTTTGTCTAGCTGGAGAAATGGAGAGAGGCAACAGTGAACTCCAGAGCAAGACGACCAGAGTCAACCTTTATCGTGTTGTTGCTCTCTGCTAAATCCATTGAAGACTGAGGTGCCATCCCCACGCCTCCACAAGTTGCATTTAGCCGGCTTGGGGTGATTCGTGAGAATGTCGGCCGAGGGCCTCCACCTCCATGGATGCAGTTGGGGCTTGGAATTTACCCCGCATGGGGTGAGGGGAAAGCAAGTTGGAGAAGTCGATGTTGCTGACCTTATTCTCCACAGATTATTCAGGAGGCGTGCGGAGTTCTTCTTCAAGCATACACCATCGAGTTTCATCTTCTCATGCTATATCACGGCAACTTTTTGAAACGCGCCCTACGGTGTTTTACTGTCACTGCTGATTCGGAAACGTAAGAGGCTCAGAGGCCATCAGCTGTGGTGCAGACTGAGGCCATGTATGGCAGTTCACAACTCTAGAGAAAACATCCTATTACTTGGATATGGGCTTGAAGAAATGTTTCAATTTGCTAACTCAGCCTAGGCCTTCCCAACCTGGCAGTCTAGTGTTTCGTTTTACTATTTCCCATTTCGACGCTACACATCCCATCACAGCACAATGCCCCTCTAAGGCAGGGGAATGGCCTGCTTGTGGTTGGTAAACAGACCCTCGGGGTCAACGGCGGCCTTGATCTGCTTGAGGCGGTCAAAGTTGGCGCCGTAGAGACGCGCGCTCCACTCGGCCTCGGTGAGCTCCGTGTCGGCGTAGTTGACGAAGCCCCTCAGCTCCTGGCCGCCGGCAACAAGCGCGTCCTCGAAGGGCTTGATGAGACCCTTCATGTAGGTGGTGCCGTCGGCGGGGTAGGGGGCGTTGGCGTCGGCCGAGTTAGCCTCCCAGCGGATGAGCCAGAGGTTCTTGCCGTGCGCGTAGGCGGTGTCGGCGTCGGCGATGTCGCGCGAGACGCCGCCCCAGAGGTCGAGGAAGCCGGACTTGCGGAGGTCGGTGCGGTTGAAGGCGAGGGTCGTGCTCTCGAAGAGGATCTTGGCCTGCTCGACGGTCAGGGGGTGGTCGGTCGTGGTGGTCAGCGCCTGGGTGTAGAAGGAGCGGCCGCCGAGGGTGCCGCCCTCGGGCTGGTTCATGCCGGCGCCGGCGACGGCGACCTCCATGTCCCAAAAGGGCAGCTCGGTCTTCTGGACGACGGTGGCGTTGGGGGCGAGGGCGTTGAGGGAGGACACGAGCGGGGCGATGACGGCGTCGAACTTGGCCGGGTCGCCGTAGAAGTAGCCGGTGCCCGAGTACGGGGGCGCGCTCAGGCTCCAGCGGAGGGCGAGCTCGTCGGGGCAGTCCTTGCTGAGGGAGTAGTCCTGGATGGCGACGAGGGCCTTGGCGGCGGTGTCGACGTCGACGCTGCCGATGGAGAGGGTGAAGTTGACGGCGGTGGGGAACAGGGGCGCGTGGGTGTTTGTGGTGACGGAGAGGATGATGCCGTAGGAGGCGCCGGCGCCCTGCGCGGCCCAGAAGAGGTCGGAGCCCTTGGCGGCGTTGACGACGGTGCCGTTGTACAGCATGTACTCGATGGACTCGAGGTTGTCCATCGGGGTGCCGAGATGGCGCGAGGACGAGCCGTAGCCGCCGCCGATGCTGGAGCCGGCGAGGCCGACGTGGGCGCCGCGGACGTGGGGGAAGTGGCGGCCGGCGGTGTCCCAGGTGTACTTCAGGACGGGGCCGACGTGGGAGCCGCCGCCGTAGGTGACGCGGTGGGTGGCCTCGTCGTAGGAGACGGAGTTGAATGCGGCCATGCTGATGACCAAGCTGCCCGGGTCTCCGAAGCCGTAGGCCTGGAAGGAGTGGTGCGCTCCGAGGGCGGTGGCCTTGGCGGAGGCATTGCGCGCGCAGTCGAGAGACAGGGCGATCTGGTCCTTGTTCTCGGGGAACGAGATGGCGGCCGGGTCGACCTTGATGCGCTTCTGGAAGCCGACGGTCTCGTCAGCCCAGGTGGCATCGGTGCTGATGATGTTGCGGACGCCGGCGGTCTTCAGACACGCCTGCAGAGCGACGCCCTTGGCGGCAGTGTCCTGGGCACTGGCCAGAGAGGGGGCAAGGAAAAGGAGTGAAGCGACGACGAAGCGTCCAAAAGAGCGTGTAGAATCCATGGCTGTGGTATGTACAGACGGTACAGCCCGGTGATAAGAAACGAATGTAATGGTTTACGATGGGATATCGAGCTGTAAGGCTTGAGGGCAGAGCGAACAGACTCAATGGGGCTCTGTGACTACGAACGGGTTCATCTTATACTGATGGGGGATATATGGATCTGACCCATAAGGGGTCTGTTCGGATGGGCAGAAATCCCAGAAAACAGCTTCGGCTTTTCGGTAGAGTCGGGCGCCTCTCTGCTCGATATCCGTCAGAAAGGCTAATAAGTGACGGGTGTCTCTGCTACAAGGGCCATCCATCTTGGCGGAGCCCCCCACGACCCCCCGTCATAATGACCAGATTTGCATGTCCAACGCCCCAGGGCCAAGTTTAGACAAATGCCTGTTTAATCATATCAATCAACCTGGTTCGTCGTAGGGCTTGGCGCTCACCTGCTCAGCCTCTTGACCTACTCAATCTGTAAAACCTTGTCCGGGTGATTCGCCCTATGAAGCAGGCAAACCCCTGCTTCGAAGCTCCCGCCCCGGCGCCGTCGTTCTGGAACCGGAGTCCGTCCCCCTTTTCGGCGGTACCGATGCCCCCGGCGGCCGTTTTTTAAGGTTTACATTAGTATGCTCATTGGGGCGCAAAAAGGCGCAATAAGGTGTTCTTCGTTCGGAATAAGGGGCCCATGGAGGGCAGCAGAAACGCGTCTCGGCCCCCACCCGAGGGAGAACTTGCTGCGAGTGCGAAGAAATAGAAAAAAGAGAGCTATTCCCGTCATGGTTCATGATGGTCGTCAAAAGTCTTGGCTCAATGCTGCCACAGGTGAGACTCGTCTAAGAGGGACTGCGGACGAGTCATGGGACGTCACAAATCCGGGGCCCCTTCAAATCTCCGTCAATACCGACTTCTTGGGATCGTCTACTCGGGTTCGGTAGCGACCGGTTGGCATTACTAAGGGCGGATGTTGTCCAGAGTCCGGAGTATATTAACACGTTGTGCAGCCCCGTGGTGATGATCGTGAAGCCTACGAGGAAGAGAAGAAAGCTGCGCAACTTGGCTGACTAGCGGAAGCATCATTATCGGATCAGCAGATCGCTTCACTCTTTTCAAACACCAGGACCAAAACGTCCCGGATTCCATTCGTTTTCTGTCTCTTGCAGCAGCGAGTCGCAACACCTTGACTGATTCCCACACCATCTCGGTTGCGTCGACCTGCCTGTTTTACTTGGAATTATCACCAAGTTCCGCTCATTCCACCAGTCGCCCACTCTTTCGCGATAGCTCCATTCTTTTTCCATCTCAACCTTGGGTGAGCACATTTTCCGTCTGTCTCTTCATCTCTCCTGAGAGACAAGCCAAGTCCTTTAGCTTGGCTTATCAAATCGGCCACTAATCCTCCGAAAAAAAGAAGGTTCCTCAAATCAAAACACACAACCATGCGCTCCTCATCTCCCTTGAAGAGCCTCTTGGCAGGCTCGGCCTTCTGGGCCGCCTCCTGCAGCGCCGTCACGCTCTACGCGGCCGACTCTGGCGGAAATGTCACGACGCTGTCGCTGGCCGGATCGGCCGGGGGCAACTACAGCTTTTCCGTCGCCAGCAAGACGGCAGACTGCGATGTCAACCCTGCCTGGCTCACCCTCGACGGCGCCAACAGGGTGCTCTACTGCCTCGACCGCGGCTCCAACTCGCAGCCCAACGGCTCGCTAAACTCCTTCTCCATCGGGGAGGGCGGCGCCTTGACCCGCATCGCCCGTGTCTCGGCGCCCTTTAGCGGCGTCGCTGGCGAGATCGTCACCACACCCGCTGGCGTCCGGGGCTATGTCTCTGCTTCATAGTAAGTACTTACACTATCTTTCACAAGTCCTTCCTCCGAGTCGTCGTTCTCCGAGCTTGCAAGCTCTTTGAATGGGATGATTATTCGCCCGTCCTTCATTTCATGGTGGTCCAATCGGCAACACCAATCCCCCGTTCCCCAGAAATCGAGACCCCCATCTGCGGATATGCGGGACTGTCTTATCCACCTGCCCCGACAAGTCTAGAAGGGAAAGCAACAACATCAAGAGATACCAAGCTCACACATCTCGGTAGCAACCGAAGCGCAGCGGCCGTCTTCGCCCTTGGCGACAAAGGCGCCCTCCCGGGCACCGGTCCCCTTCAGGAGATCTTCCCGACGCTGGACCAGCCCGGCCCGGTAGCCTCCCGCCAGGACACATCCTACCTGCACCACGTCATCAACGACCCCAAGGGCCAGTACGTGCTCCTCGCGGACCTGGGCGGCGACAAGGTGCGGGTCTACTCCTACGACTCCAACACCGTGGCGCCGATCAAGGAGGTCGACGGCCTGGTCACCGGCCCCGGCGTCGGCCCCCGCCACGGCGTCTTCCGCACCGCCGCCAACGGCGACGTCTTCTTCTACTTCAACGGCGAGCTCGACCAGAACATCTACTCGTACAAGGTCGAGTACAAGGAGACCGGGCTCGCCTTCACAAAGGTCTTTTCCATCCCGGCCATCAGCGCTGACCTCCCGGCGACAAAAGCCCCGACTAGCGAGATTGCCCTCACTGTAAGTTTGTGTCGTTCCACTATTCCCACATTCTTCATCTTCCTCTTTGGGGCCCCTTGCAGGCAGGCCTGCCGATCATTTTCTGGGCCTTATTTTAAATGCCGTACCGAGTTGAATTTTCGTTTAATTTGTACCGCCCGGCCGCATTCTGCTTCCGCGATTTGTAATGTTTTACACGTCGAACAAAAGATCATTTTTGGCTGACCACGTGGGGGCAACTTACAACAGCCGGACAACAAGTTCCTCATCGTCTCCAACCGCGACGTCTCCTTCCGCGACTCCCCGATCCTCGGCTCCGGGCCCTCGGACACGCTCTCCACCTTCGCCATCAAGGAGGACGGCACCCTGGAGCTGGTGCAGCTCGCGCCATCGGGCGGCTGGTCGCCGCGCCAGTTCTCCATCAACAAGGCCGGCGACCTCATCGCCGTGGGCCACCAGAACAACCGCACCGTCGTCATCTGGAAGCGCGACCTCGAGTCCGGCAAGATCGTCCGCGAGGCGGAGGGCGGCAAGGTTGGCGTGGTTACGCTTACGGGCGCTGTTGTCGCTACCATCTGGGACGAGTAGATGACGCAAAGAGGAAGAGTATGAGACGCAGTCAGGTACAGATATTTGGCAGGTTGATGCACTTCACGTTTGGGCAGCGTCGGCGTCAGTTTCTAGTCTTGATATATTAAGATTTATGAGGCAACTCAAATTACCTGGCCTTGGTTCTAGCGGTGATTTCCCACTACTGCCTCTGACTTGTGCTAACTACATGTAATCTAACACTAAGAGTGTGGTCACATTGAGTTTCGCCTGTAGTGCATGAGGCGTTTATCAGATGAACATGTAGTCGCTCCAGCCGGTGGGATTGCGTATCTACGACGAATCACTACAATGATTGAATCAGAAAACATAAATAGCACCGCAATTTTTCGGAAGTCAGGGAGCAATCGTCGAATAGCTTTGTTATCCTCTCTATCCGGAAGGAATTCAACTCGTGACCCGCTTCGCATTTCTACCTACATATCATAAAAACGGTTGGAAGCTTCGCATCATCGAGGCGTATACCAAGCAATCACTATCACTAAAGTGTTCTAATACAATGGTTCGGAAAAAACTGATTCCTGAAAACCGTTGTGTAAAATTGCTGTAAAAACGTTATCGGACTTTGAAACCGCAAAGTGGGTGCAAGCAAGTTGGCTGGAGAAATACAGCAACCTACCTTATCCTAGTCACATGCACTCATAGCAGCGGGCTAATCTCTCGAGTTTCTAGGCCCACAACATCTTATCTTCCTGTACCTGTTTCCTTCAGACAGATTATCCCCGACAAACCGGTGCTGTTCTCTAGTCATTCACCTCGTCAAGACGGCCATTTAGACGGAGTTTCCCTCGCTGCGAACATCTTTCATCAATCTCACCTGTCTTTTAAGATTGCGATGTCAAGTCATTGACGATCAACAACATAAACTACCTAACTCCGGTCTGCCATGACTCGCCCCACGTCCCAGCGCAAGTCCAGACGCATCACCCAGGCGTGCGACTTCTGCCACAAACGGGGCATCAAATGTCGGGCTGCCCCGGCAGATGCGTCGTCTGCCGGCAACAAGTCATGCTTGACCTGCATTGAGTACGACCAAGAGTGCACGCGGCACCGGCAACCCAAGAAGCGGGGCACGAAGCCGCGAGGCTCTGACGGTAGCCACGGTGCTGGCAAAGACGGGCGCTGTCAATTAGATAACCGCAAGATCGTGACTGCGCTGCTTGATGTGTACTTGGATACGATACATCCAACGTAAGTCTTCGCATATTCGCGATCATCGTAATAGCTGCTCATTCACTCTGCAGGTTCCCTTTCTTCTGCGAGAGAGAGCTATGGGTTGGCTGGAGAGAGGGCACATTTCCATCCGGTTCGTCGGAATACATGAGTCTCATTTGCATGTGCGCTCTGAGTGCTCAACATGTTGGAAAGCGGGCCCTGTTCACCGACGACATGGCTCCGTCTGACTTCGCAAGTCTCGCGAACGACTATCTCCAGGAGGCTGTGCGACTTGTGCCTGTTGATTTTGACCGTCCGGACATCGATCTTATACGATCATATGGCCTCTTAGCTTTACTTGGGGCGCAGGAGGGCAACACCGCCATGATCCATAAATATCTGGCACTCTATCACGGCATGGCAGCCCAGTTCAGCTTCCATGATGAATCGCGATGGCCGGGTGACACAACGGAATGTGATAGGGAGGTCAGACGCCGTCTTTGGTGGGCGCTGTATCGACTAGAAGTGCACACAGCTTGTGTTTTGGGGAGCCTCATTCGTTGCCCCAAGGCTCATTCTGATGTTAGCTATCCTTGTGGGACACATCATTCAGCATTCATCCCCGGCCGAGATGGGAAGTTCGAGAACTGGTTTGAAGGATGGAACCTGACGACCGATTTGTACCGGGTCCTCGAGCACGCAATATCAGATTTCCGGACGCGGAAGCAGAATCGGAGGTCAATACTGCACAACAACCACGACTCTAGTAAATCCAGAGAAATCTCGGAAACTCTTTCCAGGATTCAGGCGGAGTTGTTACCCCATTTTGTCAGCGCAACTACTCGGTCGAGCGACAGCGGGAGGAATCGGTGCGGCTTCCAGGCGGCGAATATTCTGTGCACTATCCACCTAGCCAGGATGCTCTCGACAGTATCAGAAGAAAACAACCTCCATGCAGCATGTAAAACAGCGCAAGAAATGATGCAGAACATGGAGGCGATACCCTTGGAGTACATCCGAGCTGGCGGATCTCCTCTCGTCCAGCAGCTTGCCGGTGTTGGCCACATGTTGATTGGCGTCTCGGGTAAGCACAACTTGACACGATCGGATTATGGCAATTTGAAAGGGGTTGTCATGTCTATGGTGGGCTTCTTGGGACACTTGGAGAACTACAGCAACGTTGCTGTGACCGTAAAACAACGCCTATTGTCTCGACTTACGGACGTGGATCGGCGTGTACCTATTAACTCAAGAGATCACGACCGAAACTGAACCGCAACTTGTATGGTCTCTGTACTCGGACAATATGTCAAGAGATGGAGAGGACGGCGATATTTTCTCTGTAGCCCTTTTGAACAGCTTTACTTGGCCTTTTGACCTGCCAGCAAACGAACGAGAAGCTCGACGAAGGCAGATTGAATATTTCCTATACGCAGACAAAATCTTTTTTTAGTTCGACTCCGATGCACTCTTGCAGAAAAACTCAAATAAGTTTTATTACTTCTGATCTGCCTTGGAGTTTCTGGTGTTTGTCGACTTCTGCTTGTTCGTTCTGAAGGCGTAATACTCCCCACCAGTCATGATCGGATACTTCATCGGATTCTCATCGCTGATACAAGTCGGCACAGGCTCCAGCACCTTCTGCCTGTCGAAGCCGAAGAAAAACGGGGCCGAGTACCTCTCTCTACCGCTCTTGTTGATAACTCGATGAATTGTCGACACAAAGAAATCGTTCGTCTGCCTCATGAAGCAGTCGGCAATATTGACAACAAACGAGCCAGGGATAGGCTCTGCCTTCACCCAGTTACCAGTTTTGCTAAGCACTTCCAAGCCCCCTGAGGTATCTTGGGTGACGATGGTGAAGCACTCCACATCAGTGTGTGCGCCGATGCCGTTTTGATCGTCCACTGAGTGCTTCTGCTCGGGGTAGTGCAAGATGCGCATGCCCGCCTCGGGCCGCTTGATGTACTCGTCGAAATAATCTTCAGGTAAGTGCAGAGCGAGTGCAAAGATGCGGGTCAGGCGACGAGACAGACGAAGCAGCTCAGTATGATAGGCATAGAGGTTTTCGCGGAATCCGGGCACGTCGGATGGCCAGATGCTGACTGATTCTTCGGTCTTGTCAACTGCCTCTGGGTCTTCTCGGGCATCGTAGGCCCAGTTGAAGGCTTCGCTTAGATCTTTCACGACTTTTAGCAACATAAAACTGGCACGTGTTCTGGGTGATGGAGGCCTACCTTGGTGCTTCCACCCATTGCGGTTGTAGCACTCCATTGGATGAAAACCGACGTATTCGTTCGGTACGAGACCGGTGAAGACCTCCATCTTCTTCTCTTCAGATAAGCCGAAGAAACGCTTCGCCTGCTTCATAGTCTCATCCGCGAATCTTTGATCGATTCCCTGGGGCATCGAATTAATTAAGACCTCCTCTCCCTTCATACATGGTCTAGTAATACTCACATGGTTGATTAAGTAAAAGAACCCAATGTCCCTCGAAGCTTCTCTAATCTCCTGGGCAACGGCTTCTCGTTCCGTGATGTCGTCACTCCAGATGCCCGCAGCGTCAATGACGGGGATCTTCTCAAGGTTGGTGGAGACGTTCGAGTTGAAGCTGAACACTGTCCCGTTATGTAGAGTGACGGTCCTCTTCCCGATCCCGGACTGAGAAATCGTTTCTGTTTGAGACATGTCGAGATCAACGTTGATGATTCTGTGGTCAATATGTTGCGCGACTGGGAATAAAATTTACGACGGCGCTTTTGGTAAGGGACCTGATGGGTCTTGATGAAAACCTCCCGCTAGCACCTACAACTTATATGTGTGAAGATGTCACGAATTTCTGTAGATGATACGATGGTTTGATAGGAGCTCGTACTGTTATTTCGGAAGAACTGATCAACTCTTCGACATCAGCTCGAACTGCGGGGCTACCACGGACATGCAAGCTTATCGCGGGGCGTACGACTGCTAAACTGGTGAACTGGTTAACTGCAGTCTTTGGAGATGCAAGCTCTCCCATTGGTCATGAACATCTGCATGGGTCCACAATCATCATGGAAGGGTATGATCTGCTGGGGGTCACGAAGAGGGGCTTCTCCGCTATCTTCGCAGCTCTCGGTATCGAGAGACCGATCCTTATCATGACTACAAAGCATGCTTACACCCGGCAAATGCCCGAGGCGGGCAAAATAGAAACGAAAAATGTACTTCTTATCATTCTCGACGAAAGATTGTCTTGCGAAAAGATCAATAGCTTTCTATAAAATTAAACCTCCCGAGCAAAATACACTCTCATGCTGGCTTAAGAGAGTTGAAAACTTCATAGGCGGCTCGCTCGCTTTGGGTCAAGTCGACAGCAACGATTAGTATTGAACGATGGCGACACCAACACCTTTGAGTCGCCGCCTCATCAGACGCATTGAGGTAAATCGAGATACCGATACAGATGTGGACATTTACGTCAACAAAGACACGCGGCCGTTGCCCCCTTCCCGCCGCACATATGGCCCATGGGAGTTCGTTGGCCTCTGGATGGTGACAGGTTCTTTCAATGTTGGGGGCTGGACAACAGGATCTTCCCTCATTTCTCTGGGACTCAATGTTTGGGTAAGCGTCGTCTTCCTCTGTGGCTGCCGCCTCACATAATCAACTAATCAATGAGCATAGCAATCTATGATTGCCATCATCGTCGCCCATACCTTTGTTGGCTTTGTCTGCATAGCTGGCGGTCACCCTGGCGCAAAGTGGCACATTGGCTTTCCCCTATGGATGAAGCAGAACTGGGGCATCTGGGGCTACCTCTTTCCAATGGTATGTCGCCATTCGGAGGCTCAAACTAATTCCTCTGACATGCTGGCTAATAACAACGAAGGCCATCCGCGTTTTCTTATCCTTTGTCTGGACAGCCACCAACACGTGGTACGGAAGCCAATGCCTAAAGGTTCTTTTGACATGCGTCTGGCCGTCCTTTCTCAATCTGGACACAGAGCTCGCGGATGGTACGATGAGGACGTACGACCTCGTATCCTTCGTACTCTACTTGCTCCTGTGCCTCCCAATGATCTGGTTCAGCCCAGAAAACTATCGGAAACCGTTTCTGATCGCCTCCACAACTGTTGCTACAACCGTGTTTGCACTTCTCATCTGGTCCACCGTGCGAGCTGAGGGAGGAGGTGCCCTTGTCGCAGATGTGAGTAAGGTCTCGGGTGTCAAGCCAGCTACGGGAGGCGATCTCGGTTGGGCCTTCGTCGCGGCTGTTACGGCAAATATTGGGGGCATCGCCACGCACATGTGGTCTCAGTCGGACTACACGCGATACGCACGAAAGCCGGGAGATCAGGTCTTGGCGCAGCTAATCATGGTACCTTTGGGGACCATCATCGTAGCCTGCGTCGGGATCATCTGCACTTCATGCGCCGCGACGCTGTACCCCGACGAGGGCAAGCTCCTGTGGCAGCCCTACGCTTTCCTGGAAGCCGTGCGCAAGAACGAAGATAACTCTGGTGCCCGAGCGGGGATCGCGTTTGCGAGCATCGCCTTCATGTTCTCGCAGTTCGGCATGGTGGTCGCATCCAATTGCGTGGTTGCCGGAATCGACTTAGCCGCCCTGCTACCGCGTTGGTTCACGGTCCCCCGCGGGGGCTATTTCACTATTGTCTTCGTGTTCATTATGCAGCCCTGGGCGCTCCTCAACAGCGCTAGTAAATTCTTGACTGTCGTGGGCAGCTTCAACGTTTTCCTCGGCCCGCTCATGGGGATCATGTTCGCTGATTACTTCCTCCTCCGCAAGCGGACAATCAAGTTAACCGACCTCTACGGGAACTCGTCCAACAGCATCTACTGGTACACCAAGGGATGGAACTGGCGAGCAGCCATCGCCTGGTGCCTGGGCGCGTGGCTGTTCATCCCAGGTCTGGCGCAGCGCGCTGTTGCTCCAAGCGAGGTATGGGCGGGCTGGACGAGGCTTTATCAATTGTCGTGGTTTGTGGGCTGTCTTGTGTCAGGTCTGATATACCTCCTCCTGGACTATTTGTGGCCCATGCCGGAAAAACAAGCGGTGGACGACCTTGATTATTTTGGTACATTTGGGGATGCGCCCGTCCTACGCGGGGTGGCTGAGCTCGACGCCATCTCCACGATGTCTGGAGCTGTGGACATTGACGAGAAGACTTCCGGGGCGGGCGGAGAGAAAGTCCAGACCGTCTGACGCCAGTGGCATATTTTCGTGTCCATTGCCTTTTCCGTCGTTCACTCATCATATCATCTAATCTATCTGCCCATATATTCAGCCACACGCGCACGAGACTAGTAACCCAATGTCTCAGATCTCCGTCAATGTTGACACCTCAACGCATCATGTTTCCTTTGCCTTTTGATCTTCTGTCTTTCTTTCCAGAGCTTGAACGGCCGCATTCTCCAGATGAATTTCCCCATGATCGGTGCATCGTACAAACGGCAGCTCGATCCTAGGTAGGTATGCCGTTTGCATAAAAGAGCTAAACTGTCCAAGACATCAGCCAAAACCCACTGACTCAAGGCCCCGATTGGTCCAACCTTAAGCCACAGCTGTGGACGGCGTCTGCGGGTAGCTTGCACCAATTTGGTTGAAGATCGCATTTCTAGAAGGTGAACATGCCCAATAGACATGTGAGCTGGTGCCGCTCCTCTCCCCGAGTGTCAAGCTTTCCTCAAGCTTTCTTCAAGCTTCTCGCGAGTCTGTCTCATGGGTCATCCTTCCCGTCGTGCCGTCAACCTACTGCATCTGCCATACTTCAGCCGGGAAGACTCTATTCATACCGTCGTTTAACCTCCGCCCGTGACTCAAGACTGCTGATCTTGAGTTCCTGTGCTCAAGTGCCGACCCAAATACTTTCTTTTCCCGCCCTCTTTAAAGTTCCGCCGGACGCCGCGTGGACGTAGATCCTAGCCGCCCCCCCTACGCATCCGTGCCCCCTTGCCGTCGACCGCCGTAAAGGGGCCAGGCCCAACGCCGCTAGGGATCCTGTTCCAGCAATAGAAGACGAAGGATTCTGCCCGCGATCTTCTCTGTTTTCTCGCAACATACCTTGATCCTGTTTCTGCTGCCCGCCGCCATGTCGCCCGAGTAGAGAGTGGTGGACCTCGTAAACGGACTTCAATCCCCATCGGAGCATGGTGGATGCCGACGTCGACATCGATCCGAACCGACCTCGCCGCGTTCTTGCGGTTGCCATTCTCTTTCTCTGCCTCACGCCCATCGTCATCGCCCTGCGGTTGTACTCGAAAGTTTTCATCACGCGAACCGTGACCTCCGACGACAAGCTTCTTTGCCTGCTCCAAGCTGTTTTTACGGTGTTTTTGGTCACTGAAATCCTGGGAGTAGTGCATGGTACGGGCCGCGATGCGACACAGATAACGCCAGAAGATCGACGGAAAGCTCTCCAGGTACGTTGCAGACTTGGGGTCCACCTCTGCGACAGATTTGACGACAACAAAACGAAATTACCGGACTGCTTTGTTGACTTCCAACGTGCAGTACTTCTTTGCTGGCGAACTCCTATATCTCCTCACGACAATCCTCCTGAAAGTCTGCGTCGGCATCCTACTTCTGCGCATCGCGATCGTCCCGACGCACGTCTGGATCCTGCGAGCACTGCTGCTGTCGACGCTGGTTTTTGGGTTTCTGTACCTATTCCTCGTCGCCTTCCAGTGCCGACCGGTACACGTATTCTGGGACGAGGGTCCTCGTACCCCCGGCCATTGCTTCTCGAAAACCGTCGTTCTCGGCACCACATTCACAGCCGCCACACTGAACTGCATTGCGGACTGGGCATTTGGGATATTGCCCTTGTTTATTGTCTAGTCGTTGGACCTGCGCAAAAAGACCAAAATTCTGGTTGTGCTCTTGTTAGGGTTTGCTTCAATGTACGTTTCCCATCCCGATGGTTTGGTGGCATGCGCAACACCCAACCTTCCGCTCCGGTGGCATAACTATGATTGGTGATGGAGATGCTGACATGGATTGACTTTTTGCAGCGCGAGTATCGCCACTATTATTCGAGCGGTGACAGTACCGTCGGTATTGAGCGAGGGAAACTTTCTTCGTACGTCAATCGATCTGCCCATGCCCACCTAAACTTTACCAGCTTGGAGGGGCACGAAGCCCATGAATGGCATTTAAAACGCGTGCTTACTCTTTCATCGTACAGGAGAGACCGCCAACTTCGCCATTTGGAGCACTGTCGAACCTGGAATTGGTATCACCGCTGCTTGTGCACCGAGTCTCACGCCTCTCGTCCGACAATTGTGTGGAAGGAGGCAGCGGGAGGAACAGGGCAGGGGGCATTGGAGGACTAGATCGTTGCCAACTATCGAGTTAACGGGCGTAACAAGCGAGACGACCGACACGATGTCTAAGAACTTTTTCAGGGGCTCTCTCTCACGGAGCGAGCCGTCGCAGTCGATGGAGATGCCGAGGTTGCGTTTTGACGACTTCACCTACGAATCACGAATCTCAGGCCCAGAGTCACGATCCTGTCGGCCAACACCGAACAGAAATAGGGCGTCCTGGACTTTTCCACTACGATCAGGGTCAGGATCGTCGTCTTCCTCTTCTTCTGGGTCGGAGTCCTGCACCGCCACAGCAGGAAAGTCAGCTACTGCGAGTGTTGGGGTTCTTCCCGAACCTCCATCTTCAGGCATCATGAAGACGATGGAGATTGAACTGTCATACGAGGACAGGACATGGACGAAACAAGGACGGATGATGCCACGAGATGAGTGCATGCTACGACCGCACTCTTTATCGGGCTTCAGGAGGTTGACGAGTGGGGAAGTATCCCTTTTACCGGATATCGATAGCAACAATTTGTCACCGTTGTCTGCAGACTTTGACCTAGAGTCTGGTTTTGGTTCAACGACGTTCAGACATTCATCTCCCCCTGAGGCGAGCTGGCAATGGTCGGACAGCAGCGGTACTAGAGAAACCTCAGAGCATACACTGGGACTGCCATCCCCAACAGAACAAAGCAGGCAGGATAACGGGCAACTTGGGGATTCATGAAAGGTTTCTGGGAAGGTGATGACTCCAGATGAGCTGGGACGGGATTACGAACACGAATATGAATGTGATGATATTTGGAGTTTTGAAATGCTTGGCCATTCGGTCTTGCTGAATTGAACACAATTCAATACAACAACTAGGACTTGGGAGAATCAGAAGGCGCCACAAAACTCCCGTTGAATTCTGTGATGCCTGCCCCCCCGAGTCCCATTTTTGACCCCCACTTCCGAGGTTGACGCTCTGGAGTCCGAGGTAATAGCTGCGAAATGACTGAGTTGGCTTGTCATCCACAAATGGCGGTATCTTGAACGTCTTCTTCGAAAAGCCCTCCAATTCTGCTGTTCGTCCTTCGATAACGACTGAGGTGGTGACTGAGTCGGTTGGACGACGGCTTCAAGGAGCCTTTTGGCCGACAGCCCAACTCTCCTACCGTTTCCTACTGCTTACCGATAACATGTGGGGTCTCCGTCCGTCGCTAGACCAAATGCTGAAGATATGCGGTGCAGGTTCGAGTACACACTTCTGCGCTTTTCAGGGCTGTTAGTAGATCGTGAGTGGATCTTGCGGTTTGACTGGACCCGGAATTTAACAGCATGATCCAAACGTACACGAGTTCTGTCGGATATGAAAGATTTGAACTGTGCTTGAGGATGGCCCGATAAAAGGTAATGCGTGTCTCTTCAAGACTGGAGGGCTTGAGTCGTCCATACCTGCGGTTGCGGAGCACGTGTTCAACCGCATGCCCGTTGAATGCGCTCAATTTCACACCCGCAACTGGAGAATCCGTTCACACGTGGAGGCTAGCCGCCGCAAGGTATGGTGTCATGCGGTCTTTTGCGGTATCTGCCTGGTTGGCTTCAATTGGTTGAGGGATCAAAGTGGAGGTTGGGCAACTCAATTGTCAGACACCCATGCATAAGCTTAGACACCCACAATCAGGGACATCTCGTACACTTACCCCGTGTTCGAAGACTCTTGCGTAAGAATAATCTAGTCTCTTTTTATCGTGGTAATTCTATGCATGAACATATTGAAGCCACTGATTTCTCTTCGCATGGAGCCAATGTGTTTTCGGGACCGTCCACAATCAGCGACCTTCAAGGCATTATAGTGCAATTTGAAAGCTCAGATACCAATCAGACTCACTCCAATACACTCTCTCTCAAGCATCATCTTTGTACAGTACGAGTTAGATCACCTAAGCAACTACCCGGCTTCGGCGAAGGGACGTGGTAAATGTTGACTCACAAGTTACTGCTACCATTCATGCAGAGAAACTCACGATTAATGCTTGCCTTGTCTGGAATTCACTCATGTCAGACGAACCAGTCCCCAGTTCCAGGTTTTCCCTGGGAAACGAGTAATCAATGTGCGCTCCCGGCCTTCCCTGTGATGGTAGAGGTCTATGCCATTCCGCATTGGTCTCTTTAGAGACTTGAATGAGCCATTAAACGGGGTCCAACGCTATGCCAGCGAGTTCATGACGGGTCTCAATGTACACTCAACTGACAGACCCACCAGGTGGCGTAGTTGATTTGTCCTCCAATTGCGATAGGAAACCTACAACTCACATTCGAATTGATCAGCAGACCCAAGAGCGGCATGCATGGTTCAACTCAAACGACAAGATGCCAATAGACCTTCCCCTTCTTCGCCTAGTATCCTGTCAAGCAAATCTGACTTTCGAAGGCCGAATTTTGATTTGGAATCATCTATGATCACTCTTGCTACCTGCAGGTTTCATGAAATTGCGGAGAAGGATGAGACCCGGCATACCAGCAATATTCAAGACTTTCCGAATATCGACGAGCTGACCATCCGCCGCGCTGATAATTTGGGAGCTGTGCCAAGAATGAGAGACTGGGCCCCAGTTCCGTGGTTTCCAATCGTGGACATGACAACGTGGTCGCTGACAACACAGTTCTGACAGTCGGAAGTGGAAACACAAGGCAATCATCTTCGGGTACGGTGACCTATTAAATGGTGAGGCAACGAATTGGTTCGCAGCGGAGAGGGTCGCAAAATTGGCGCAGGAGAATGGAGCGCATATGCATGATAAGCCACTAAGACCAGGGTATGTCAGCTCACTCGCCTAGAAACGATTTTGTCTAAAACCAGGCTGGCCAATGGTACCGACGCTTCTGATTCTCAACCATTCACAACATTTGAACACTGCATACGACTGCGGGGTATCTTGTTGGCGAAGGCGGTGGCTGGTTTCAATGGTCTGTTGCAGCGTGGCAGCCTTAGTTTGGATAAGTTGGCGCGAGGGCACCCGCCCTGGATTCCCATGTCCCTGGCCCCTCTTCTTTTCTTCTAATTATGCGAGTGCTTCACAGCCGCATCGGATTTTCTCTTTTTGCCTGCGGATCCTCCACGCGACTTCACAACTCGACCTCGTGCAACTGAACCTCCAACGATGACCTGGCGACGGTGACATCCCCATGCCGGAACGCTCCTGTACAGACTTGGTTCTTTTCCGACCAGGCAAAAACACTGGAACCTCTGCGGAGCGGTCCAGTATGCCTGGACCCACGCGCCGTGTTCATATAGTTGATGCAGATGGTAAACCCCAACACTCAGTCGTGAGTTCAGTCTCGAGATCTCCCAGTAGACAGGGCCGCCGATCTTCATCCTCACAATCCACAACAAATCCGGCACCAAGATATCGGCCCTTGCATGCTGCAGCGGGTTCAAGAGCCCCACCAAGATCATCATCTTACCACCGACCGTCCGTCAAGGGCAAAGAGCCTTCGTCATTTTGGCGGCAACACAGGCGTCCAACGAGTGGCAGGAACAGGGACGATTCACCTGGAGTAGGCCCATCACGTCAACATACTTGGAACCAGGAGTCATCTCAGCCAAACGAGAAGATGCATTCAAGCCCGAACAACGCGACTTACGGGAGTTATGACTATATCACAGGGGCATATCGTCGTCCAAAGTTTCACGAAAATGTTCCTGGGATGGTTCCTCCAGATTACCATCCACCAGGCCCCTTTATGAACATGAATTCATACAGCTCTATGCCTGGCCGTGCTTGTGGGATGCCGCCGCCGCCCGTAGAACCTGCACATATACCGTACATGTCATCGCAGGCTTTGCCAAGTGTGCCTCCTCCCCCGCCACCGCCTGAAGCCACTTCAAGCCTGTCGCCAGACAAAAATCGGGAAAGCGAAGAGATTGAAAGTCTTAGAAGGGAACTAGCGAAAGTCAAAGAAGACCAAAGAGCGAGGGAAGAGCGCCAGAGGCAGGAAGAGTTCGAGAAAAGGGTTCAAGAAGAAGCAGAAAAGCACATGAAGCAGAGGATGGAAGAAATCCGACTTGCTCAGGAGGCCGCGAGAAAGGAGCTCGAAGAAGCAAAAGCACAAATAGAGAAAGCCGCCCGAGAAGCAATCGAAGCTGAAAGGCAAGCTGAAGAACAGCGCCGAATACAGGAACGAGAAGAACTCGAAGAGTGCCAGAGAATCGCTCGAGCGAAACTGGAGGCAGAATTACGTGCCCGAGCCGAGTGGGAGCAGCTGAAAGAACAGGAAGCACATCGCCTTAGAATGGATGCTGAAGCAAAGGTGGAAGCCAGGCTGGCCCATGAGCAAGAGGAGCGGCGACGGATTCAAGAGGAAGAGGAAGAGAAGGAACGAGTGCGCCAACAAATCAGAGACGAAGTGCGGCTTGAGTTTATGAAACGAGAGAGAAGATACATAAGCTCATCCTCAGAGACCGAGTCTTTCAGCTCACGATCTTCTCTGAGCAGCAGCTACTTGAGTCTGAGTACCACCAGTCGGAGTAGGTCTACTAGCTCAAAGATCTCAGCTAGGTTGAAGGCTCCGAGCTGTAGCTCTTGCAGAGCCACGAAGGCGCTCAGTATCGGCTCATCTGACAATGTCAAGGTTCTGGACCTTCAGACGTCGGACGATGGCGTAGCAGGCAGTACAGAAGGAGACGACAAAACAAGGAACGCAACTCTGGACCCGTTCATGTATCTTGAAAAGACATCAACATCGCCGCCACCGAACCTGCAAAGAAACGATATTGAAACGCAAGAGCCATACTGGGCTTGGGAACACTACTCTAGAAGACTACCGTCTGGGTCTATTCCGGAAGACGCAGGATATACATACGCCGATCTAGAGAATCATGCATTACAGGAAGGCCAGCTTGCATCCGACGATGACGAAAGTGCAAGTTCATCGAGTACTGGGACAGATAGTGACGACAATGGCTCCAGTTTAGGCATTGGAGGTATCTTTGAGCACGAAGCTTCTGATGATGAGGACTCAGATGCCGGGACTGTGATTGCGGCATTCGATAAGCCCAGGCTCACTCCATCGTTTGTTCGCGATGATTGTTCTCGTACAAAGGGAAAGGAAGTCTTGTCGGTCCAAGGAACGCAAACAGAGCGCCTTTCGAACCCTGAGATGGGGAGTCCTTGTTACGGAAACAGTCGCTGCCCGAGCACCGAAAATCCGGAGCAAAACCGACCGAAGACGCAAGAGCTTCCGCTGAATATCCCAGCTCAAGGAGAGGAGACCTTGCCCGCCGCTTTGATTCAGTATCTTATTACAGAGGATAACGAGGAACAGCAGCAAATTGTTCTTGAGGAGTTTCAAGAGGGGATCGGTAATGGAGACGGAGGTGCCAACTTGAAAAGTCATCCACAACAGCCGACCATGAGCCAAGCTGTTCCTGAGCGGACCAAAAATGACTTTTTGGCGGATCCCCAATCGATTGCGTATTCGCTACGGACACGCTCATCTCGCGATAGCCCCTTGCTGCCCCTGCTTGCAAAACATATCTCCGACTTTGAAGAGGAATCGTCTCAACGCAACAGGTCTAGCAACTCTTGCAGGGTTCCTCTGCAGTCGCAAGATATGAAAGGTTCCGATGGTAGTTTTCGCCCCTTCCTACAGGAGGCTGACTACCCAAATTGGACCGGTGAAGGAAATTCAAACCTTTTGTTTCCATTTTACTTGGGAAACCAGGGACGTCAGTCAACGAGCAGCTTCGACCTCAGACAGGTTCGCTCAACGAGGGCTTCGAGCTCAGTTTCTTCTGAGTACCAAACAGAAGTGCCCATGGCTCTTGTGCCTTGCATCATGGTTCCATTGAACATGATTCAATCGGCCATGCAAGGCCCAATGTTCTATCCAGGGGCTATGCACAAACGCGACATGGATCGTTAGAAGAGATAAGACATGCGGTGTCTCTGAGGAGTCATATTTTGGAAGGAGGATCGAAGCACTTTTAGTGGATTATTGCTTGGGGCGTCAACGGGAGTTTACTGTGCGAATGATGATTATGATGTTAATGATGAATGAGGACAGTCATATGCCCTAATCCCCTGTATTGTATTTCATGTAGAAATAAATAGAGTCTCGGACAGGCACTTCTTTCAAAGCTAGGCTGCATGCAGCTTAACGGCTTCCATTTTGGATACCAGCCAGTCCAATAAACGCGGTTATTTTGACGAAGGCCAGCAGTCTTTTGGATTGTCTGGCAAAAGATCATCTGCCAGTTTGAAAAAAAAAACGATATTTAGAGAGAGGCCCCGGTTAGCGTACCGGCGCTACTACCCCGGAAAGATGATTTTGGTACCCTTCGGAGGGATCGTCGCAGCACATAAGATCCGAAAAAGGGGTCGCGAACGTGACCTGTCACTGGGCATATACACACTCGGCGGAAGTAGTGAGTCATGAAGGGTTCTTGCTATCCAGAATTATCATACTGACTAACTCCTATATCATCAAATCTCCTTTTGGCATACATCTCTGTGGTCTTAAAATCAGACACTGCCAACACAAACACAAATCCCGCAAGTGCCACGCCACCCACTACTGGTACCAAGATGGAGAACACGGTGAACACGTAGCTGGCCTTCTGAAAGGCCACACTGGCCGTTAGAATCTCCTTCGCCAGGCCCACTTGCATTGCTGTGAGAACGATGGCTAAGAACGCGAGGGCCGTCGCGAGGGACGCAAAGTGGTCGGACAGGAAGCTGGCGTACACAGAGGGGTTGTCTACCTGGGAGTATCCTCGCCACAGGGACTTCGTTTTGATGCGCCAGATGAGGTTGAGGCGTTGGAGTCGCAGCTCGCCGTACCAATAACGGGGGTTGATGGCGCAGTAGCGAAACTCAGAGAGGAACTCGGCGCAGAGGATGCGCCAGGCTGGCCAGGTAATTGTCCTGGGGAGTAGACCAACATCTTGGGCAAGGCGGAAGTCTGTCTCGTGCATGATCAGGGCCGTGTAGGAAAAGAGGAAGCCGAGAGCACAGGCGTATATCTCGTCGCTAGGCGAGGCGGTGATGGTTTGGTCGGTCGCGCCCCAGCTACCAACTGGGAGTTTACCGACAGGCCTTGGTGCCGAATCAGATGATGCTGATGGTAAGAGATAGGTTGACCAGAAGGCTGGATCCAGAAGAAACAACGGCAAGGGCTTTACGAAAATTCGATTCTTTGACCAGACCAGATGAAGATCTACCCGCTCGGTGACTGTAACTATTCGCGATATGACGATTTGATGGTGCAAAGGCCGTGGAGGCATCGGTCGACCGCACCAGAACATCCACCTGTGGATCTTGTTCAGACGCCGAACCAATAGTTCTTGTTGAAGTAAACTCAAGTCCACCTGCGCAGGCAATATATCATCTGAGTTTGTGCGATATGTTGCCGGCATGTGCGCAATATCAAATTCAAGCACTCGAGTTTGGAAGGGCGGTTGAGCAGAAATCATTCTTTTCGGGGCTGTTGGCAGTTGCAGGAGAAAACAGGAAATGGACTGTAAACATAACGAAGAGACAGTCACGTCAGAAAGTGAACTGATTTACTCCAGCCTATCGAGTATCCATTGGGAAAGCTCGCATATGTTCAGCCAGGCTAGAAGGAAGGCTCGCTGATGCATGATTGTATTGAAATTGAAGTCAACTTCCGTGGTGTCCAGAGCGCTTGGGGGCCCTAGTTCTGTCAGATGTCACCCACTCTAATTATGTCGCTTTCTGCGGGACTCGAGCCAATGATATGCCCCTCGACAACGCACCTTCCTCTCTCGTTCGGCCTGACTGCATATGCAGAATCCCATGCAAGTCACGTGGCTGATCGAGGAATACTTTGACGCCGATGATCAATGTCATCTTACGGTTCGCTCCCTCTTTCCCAACGTGGATTGTCCAGAGGGAGAAGAAGAGGACCATGATGGAGGACTTACAGCCACCGTTCACTTCAAGCCCCGAGACTCACGGCCTGACGGTCCAAGACTCCAAGACAGCCTTGTTCAGGTCGACCGGAACTTCACTGGCTTCACTCCGCTCTACGTCCCGCCAATCGGGACACCAATAGTCGCGGAGTACGTTTTGCTTTAAAATGCTTGGTATCTCGTGGCTGATCGTGAACCCAGCATCATTGCCGTCACCGGCCTGGCCGGACATGCCTATGGCTCCTGGGCGCATCACGATGATAGAATGTGGCTTCGGGACTACCTAAAACGCACGGCTTCCAATGCCAGAATTCTCACATACGGCTATGAGTCCGGGCTAAAAGACAGCCATTCGTTTAGCATACTCCAAGACCACACCAACACCTTCTTCCGCAAGCTCATTGACATACGCGAAGAGGGAAAGTGTGAGAGTCGCCCTATCATATTTGTTGGCCACAGCTTAGGTTGTTTGATCATCAAAAAGGCCATGATTGATGCAGGCTCTATAGGCATTAACGCATCCCGGCTCCCAGTCCGGGCTATCGTCTTCCTAGCGGCACCCCATAAAGGCCTCCATGTGGAAGCTTTATAGACTCTTGTGAAAGGGCAGCCTAGTTATGGTATCATCCACGAGCTTGAGAAGGGTTCCGCTACTCTGTTGGAATTGAACCTGAAATTCGCCCAGATGGCTCACGAGATCGATATTTTGACGTGCTATGAGACGAAGCAGACTAAGCAAGCCGTAAAACTAGAGGACGGAAGTTGGGCACGGAAACGCTCTCCCGTCACGATGGTCGACCGCGATTCAGCAATCGTCTTCACTGCGAAGGAGATAGTTGTTGGTGCGGACGCAGATCACTCCGAAATCGCCAAAACCAAGCAAAGCCAGGCGGGAATCTTTTCTCATGTCAAGTCTGCCATTCATCGCGCTCTTCGCCCAACCGTCTCACTTGCAGAGGATCACCAGGTCAGTTTAGCATATATGCACTTTCAATGATTGAAAAGGGCAGATTAACTAACAACAGACACAGGCCCAAAGACCTCATTCATGGGCTTACACTGTGCCGCCTCCGATGTATTCCCCTGGTACAGGTGCAGGGTCTCATATTACCGAGGTCCGTCATAAACCAGGAGTGGGTTCACCAAAATTGCCAGCGGAGTCATCTACATTACTGTCACATACTCCATCATCAGCAAACATTGGTCGCAATTCGTCGACCTACGTTTCAATCGCCGAGTCTTTGGAGGTATCCCGATATGCTGCGACTTCCACCCAGAGTCTTCCGCAACAACCCGTGTTAGAAGCACACCAGGGTTCTGGAGTGGAGCCCGGTCTGGAGACGAATGAGCGGCCGGAAGAGCCAAGGTCAAAGCCAGAGTCAGAGCCACAAGCAACCAAACCGCTGGATGATGCAAGCTCGGCGGATGGGGCGATGGCTTGCCCCATCACCAACCGCAGTTCGACAAATTGCGTCCTTTGTTACTTGCCGATTCAGGACTCAGATCCCCATTATCTCTATCACCGGCTTAACGGTTCGCCACCCGCGGGCAGCAAAGTTGAAAATCCCCGATCCGAAAATGAAGACAAAGGCCACAGCCCTTTATGTTACAAGGATGAGATACCCACCTGGTGTTGCCACGACTGCGCCGTCAGTCTCGAAGCGCCATTCATTTGTCCCAGGCACCAGCTAACGATGGGACCCAAGATTATCATTACAGGCTTACGTTCCAAGCGTTATCTACACTTTGTCAGCGAAAGAGTTACAGAGCTAGACAATAAGGTTGTAGTAGCGATCAAGGAGAACAATACGATTGCCCTGCAGCAGGCGTTGGATCATAGCAACAGAAGGCTTCTGGGGCCTTACAACAGCATTCGTGAAACCCCTCTGCATCTTGCAATCAGGTTGGGCCGTCTATCCTGCGCCAAAATGCTCCTGGCGATGGGCGCTGAATCAAATGTGCGTGACAGCCGCGGCGTTACGCCTCTAATAGCGGCCGGCGCATACGAGCGCCTGGATATGGCTGTCGCACTTTGGGGAGACAATGCCGAATTCCGTTACCCACTTCTTTACATGGCTATCGAGTACGGGAATGAAAAGATCGTCGAGTTTCTGTTACGGAAAGACGGGGTTGAAGTCGGTGCAAAGAACGAGAGGTTTGGAAACACTCCACTGCACCTCGCATCAAGCAGTGGCTATGAGAAGGTGGTACAGATACTTCTGAACCATCACGCAGCCGTCGATGCCGTAAACGACAACCAGGAGACACCATTGCATTATGCAGCATATGAAGGCAACGTGGAAACCTGTAACGCCTTGATCAGTCACGGCGCAAGCCTGGATGTCGTAGACAGCAGCGGGGATACTCCACTTATGGATGCCGTGAACCGCAAACACTGTGCTGTCGTTAGCTGTCTCCTTGAAGCTGGTGCCAACTGTGGTATAGTAGACTCGGGTGGCAATACACCGTTGCATTTGGCAGCAGCAAAGGGCCTGGTGGACATCTGTTCCACATTGATCCGTCACAACGCCAAGCTAGCAGTAAAAAATTCGGAGGGCAGGACTCCCCTCATCTCCGCGGTCGCGAAGAACCACCTCAATGTAGTCAGCTTACTTCTCAACAGCGATCCAAACCTAGACGTTGACGCCGCCGACAACGGGGGCTACACTAGCCTCCACTGGGCTGCTGACAACGGCTCTGTGGACATATGCGCTACCCTCCTGAATCACAACGCATCTACTCAGACAAGAACATGCGCGGACTACAATTATAGAACGCCACTCTTGGCGGCGATTATCAGCGACCAAGCTGAGACTGTTCGACTGCTACTGGCACGAGGCGCATACGAACCAAATCAAAACGACAGTACTATCCGCCAATGGTACGACTTTCCGTTGTTCGAAGCGGCTTCACTTGGTCATGTCAGTTGCCTGGGGCCTTTGCTGAAGTATGTGAAGATCGACTTCGAATTCGACGGTTGGAATGCGATCGCGTTCGCGGCACGTTTTGGAAAGGTGGAGGCGGTTAAGTTCTTACTGGAAATGGGCGCAAGTGGTTTCCCACCAGCGATTCTTAAAGGCAGATGGGAGAGTCTTCCTTTCCACAACGTGGATGAGTCAATTGCAGATGAAATTCTGAAAATTCTTAGGAACGCTAAGCGCGAATAGGGCGGTTGGCACTAATAGCTTCGTTATGTCCTATCAACTTAGATATATATTCTCTAGCCCTGTCCAACTTGAGCCCTTTCCAGGGCTTTTCTTTCGTCGGTGAACAGAACTCTTACGAACGACTCAAAATGACCCCGGGCGACAGGCGAAGCTTAGGGCTTTGCCTACATTAACTTGATCAAGCTGTCGCTCGCAGCAGTCTACAAATGAATCCATAACCTGATGCGATCTGTGTGGATTTTAGAGTTCGATTACCCAGCGAAACTTTCGAAACTTGAGACGTCTGACTTCAACACTACGACGTAGTGACCAATCTCTTAACTCCCGAAAATGACTGCGACGAGCTGACAGGAGGTACGTCGTCACTGATTTCAATAGTGCCCTATCACAATGATGAAAGCAGTGTGACGGCTCTACTCTGTATTTTTCGCTTGGTATCAGCCAAACTTAGTCTAACAAGTTATCATTCCCTGCGAGCCCGGCCTAGGTGCATTTGCTACTGCCTCAACGGCTTCATGCTTCTCCATCCCACCATAGACGTTATCAATCATGTAAGTTGACCGCCATCAAAATACTGAACTCTCAATGAGGCCAGAAAGGCGTGTGGATATTGTGGTTGGACTGCTGTAAAAAGACATAGTCAACTTTGAGACTGGCTTGCGGGCACTCTTTGGTGGTAGGCGCTCCTCGAACTTTTGTCGTGAGTTACGCGTACCTTAATGAAACGATCGAGGTACTGATAATATTTCCTACATGCAAACTCATCGTGAGACCCCGGCGATTTCCAAGGCAACTAATGACTGCTGTGACAGCTGTTTCCCGATGAGCTGTTCATTTCTCTTGTGACCTCTTTTTTGCTTGAAAAGTCTCATTATG